TAGCAATGTGGATGATAGTCCTCATGAGCGCTCTTTGGAAGTGACTCAGAAATCAAATCCAGACTAGCTCCATAAGCATTGTATAGCCATTCATACTGGAGTAATGGTTTTACAGACAATCCCCTGTTGTACTCAATGGAAGCAGTTTAGAATTTCAAATACAGTGCCAGGTAATTGATGGTTTTCAATATGTTCAATGGAATGGTGCAGAAATGCATTTTTATACAGATATGTAAATAACCTCCCTGTGTAGGTGTATTATTCCATTGTACATATAGAAAAAAAGCTCAGTAACCTGGTGTTGTAATTGAAATTCAGAATACTTCTATTGAGAACCCAAGGGCATTGTCTGTAAAGCCATTACACAGGTATGAATGGCTGTACTATGTTGATGAAGCTAGTCTGTACCCTAGTTAGTGGTTCAGTGGTTCGGTTTCATTCTTTTTGGATGTTACCTTGAGTGCCAGGATTTTGATATTAAACGTTTATTAAAATAAACATAGTTCTGAAGAGTATGTAAAACTAAAATATCAGTGTATATCTTGTGCAATAATTCCTTCCCATATATGCCATCTCTACATTTCTCACAGTAAATCTTGCTCACAAAACAGTCTTGAACCATGTCTACTAAGGGTGTCATAACATCACTGGAAATACTCTGAAACACAAACAGTAATTTCTTTTTAATTTCTGTTTGATTTTTGCTACTATCTATCAGAGAACTGACTGATAACTGGAAATTTCTCATGCATATGATTTTAGCACGCACACACGCGCGCACACACACACACACACACACACACACACACACACACACACACACACACACACACACACACACACACACACACACACACACACACACACACATACACACACACTAAAAAAAAAAATTTAGGCCCAAAAATATCCATGTCAGGGATTGGTTGTTCCCCTGATAGAAAATAAAGACAGCACTATTTTAGCATTATTCTAAGTAAATGTCAGCCGTTATTGGCCTCTTTGTATTACAGATATATGAAGTTAATGTTAATTGTTATATGTGCAGTAGAATGCCTTCTCCAGAACATTCAGTAAACTGCTTTACATTTTCACATATGTAAAGGAATTTAGAAGAAAAGTTGAAAGTATTATTTAATGAATTATTATTAACATGCTAGAAGTAATGATAAGACAGGTAGCATCTTCTTCAATGGGTACTGAAAGTTGAGGAAATAATTGTGTAAAAAATAACTTGAGGAAAATTAATTCACCAAGTCTGAATCTCTAAGTATTCTACATCTTAGATTAAGGGACTTGTTACTGTAAATAGAGTATAAGTCAAATAAAAATTGAATAATAATTGGGAATTTCATGCCTTCATAGTTGAGATAATATCAGGAGTTTATTAGTAAAAGTAGACAATATACACTGACATATATATTTAACTAGAGGATCTTTCAGAAGGGAATGTCAGACTTTTCTGTAAAATTACTTTTTTTTAGATAATCCATTGGAGAAGATGCTATGAGGAACATCTCTGTACACATACACGCACCTGAGCACAAACACACACGCACACACAGACACACCACACACACACACACACACAACACACACACACACACACACACACATACACACACACTAAAAAAAAAAAATTTAGGCCCAAAAATATCCATGTCAGGGATTGGTTGTTCCCCTGATAGAAAATAAAGACAGCACTATTTTAGCATTATTCTAAGTAAATGTCAGCCGTTATTGGCCTCTTTGTATTACAGATATATGAAGTTAATGTTAATTGTTATATGTGCAGTAGAATGCCTTCTCCAGAACATTCAGTAAACTGCTTTACATTTTCACATATGTAAAGGAATTTAGAAGAAAAGTTGAAAGTATTATCTTGCTGTTTAATGCTTATTAGATGGGAAAAAAATATGCTTCATGTATATATGGATAATGGAAAGTTCAGGCAAGTTTGCTGTTCAAAGGGCTATACGCTTTAGGTGTTTGGGTCCATGAAGCACTGACTCATCATTAAAAAATCTCCTATTGTACGCGCTACAACCTTTAGATTTTGAAAATATATAAGGTCACAACAAACAAAAAAATGTGAAGGGAGAGGATGCCCAAATATAGCCTAACATAAAAGCTTAAATACATATGCAAAACTATTTTCTATGAATATCAAAATACTCCTAGATTGCATGAATTTCCAAGTAACTTATGTAAATGGTATTTTGCACTCATCCATTGAAGTAGAGTTCTCTTTTACGAATGAGCATGAAGGGCAGCTCCATTTGATGCAGTCAGGTAAGGAACACCCTCCGCTAATGCAGTATGAAGTCAAAGCAGATAATTCAGTGTGATATTTGGTTATAATTACTGAGTTTCTAATTTTAGATTAATTGATGTAGGGTATATATCATTTAGGTAAAACATTTTGTCTGACAGTTATATATTTAACTACACTAGCTTATGGGAAACACCTCAGCTGATGCAAAGACAGTATTTATACAGGTAATTTTAATATTTTAATTTTTTTTTGCACCCGCATACAAAAATAATATAAATTGCAGAAGCAAGTTGTATGCTGTAGCATACATATTCATATATTTATATGTATATACATATATACATATACACAAACCTATGGCCTGTCTTAGTTTACTTTAGACATTTTCTCTGTTTTGTTTTTTGTTTCGTATCAGGGTGTGCTTGCTCCTCCAGAACAAAAGTTAGTTGCCAAATTCTTTGCTTAAGACTCTTTTAATTACATTACATCCTCAGACACTTCTATGATTTTATTTAACACTTGAGTATGCACTAAGTTGTAAATAAAACTTAGAAAGACAGTTACAAGAGCTAAAAAATATATATACAACAAAGATGGCTACAGTGCTGCTCAGTAAGTCAAGTGTCTATAAAAGTAAGAAAATGCATAGGTTTAGTTTGAGATAAAACCATTTGTGATTGCATAGAAAATGACAGTGAGTGAATATTAATGTTGTTTTCATTAGTTATTTATATATTTATTTAGG